GATGAAATATATTGTGTTCTCTGATGTTTCTTCTTCTCCTTCTCCTCCTTCGTTCTCCTGCCAAACAGTCAAAGGGATTCAACTCCGCCATCATTCAGCCAAATGACTTGAAATTTGGCCTGGAGGTAGAGTGGGCCAATACCCCCAGGCGTTTTTTTTCATTTTTTTGATACATGCCTTTGAAAAATTTTTATGAAGGTTTTTTGGGGCATTTTTCGACAAAAAATGGATTTTTGGATACTGATTCCTGGTTTTACAACCAAATGATCTGAAATTCGGTATAAGGGTACCTTGAACATGTGTCTACAGAATAGCAGTCACATATTTGGCATACACCACTTCCAAATGACTCATTTGGGGGACTTTGATGGCTATTTTGAGCAAAAAAAAGGGCCAAAAGTGCTATACCCGTTCCATGTTCTATGTAAAGAATGCCCGTTCCATCTGCCGTTGGCCATGGAACACGTGTTCCAATGTGGGTTACCTGAGGTCACATTGCACGTAAGTCGTGCCTAATGACCCACACATTCAATTCTATGTGCCTAAGACCTTCAAAATGTATCAAATCTCATCATTGTTAGTATTTGCATACCTGTAATAAGATTAGTAAAGCTTTCGAGATTCAATGTGCTTGTTCTTGCATCTTTGTTCTCAATTACATAGCTACTATATAATTCACTTATTTGAGAATCTTTGCCAGTTTTACACTGGGGTAAGTTTGGAATAGTCCACTTTTGCGTGGGAGGGAGATGGACTGAAATATGCTGTATTTGCTCCCAAGCAAATGTCGGCCTCTCTAGTTTAAATTAATTCTTGTGTGAATAGATAAAGGGAGAGGGAGATTCTATTAGTCTGTGTAATATTTCCTGTATTACAACAAGGATTTTACAAAATCCTCAGATTTTACAAAACCCCCAGATTTGTGGGCCTGAGCTGTAGCTAAGCCATGCAGATAATAATGTATTAATTTAATGCAAGAAAAGCAGCTTTACAGCATCCCTTTATCATCTTATGTCACTGGCCCAGATTTCTGGGATAATATATTCTCTTTGCTAACCACAAAATTGTCATTAAAGATAGATTTGATTGACAGCAAAAAACTGATGACACTGAAGCCTTACAGATCATCAGTATTCCATATCTGCACAAATTGAGCAAGCCCTTCACCAAAACAAGGTCAAAAGAAGAACAGTCCAGTTCAGTAGTGTCTAACCATTAGTGTAGTCGAAAGAAGAACCTTAATCTAAATTACATAGTGCACTGGTGTCCAACAATTATAAGTAGACTACGTCAAAAGATAAGCTTCCTATTCACTAGTGTGTAGCCATCATTGTAGTTCTTGCCAGTCAAGAAGAACGTTCTGAATGGCCCATCGGTTCACTCAGTGTCTAACCATTGTTTCCTACTCTAGTACGTCAACCCAGGATACGAGCGTCTGACAGGCTTCACGTCTCAGGAGGTGATCGGGAAGGAGAGAGGTCTGCCCAAGAGCGACAAGAACAGTCTGGACCTACACGACGCCATCAACACTCAGATCAAGAAGGGGAAGGTGGGTAGATATCAGCGTGTTCTCAGAACGTATGTGTACTCTGTGAAACCAGCACGTCGGCAGAATGTACTGCACCTGTGTGGAACCCCAATTTTTGTGGGATGTTGCATCAGAATTTTTGCTGTTTTGCAATGTATTTTCTGACAACATTTGAAAACAATAGACAGGGTATCATAACTATACTAATCATGGTGTCATCTTTAAATGTGCCAATAAGACCTTCAACGAGACGTTCTGCCACATTACAGGTCTTGCGCAGGTGCAGTACGTACTGCCAACTACTTACAAGATGTACAAAGTATGCCATTATACCAGGGCTGTGATAACATTTGTGGTGTGTACTACATAATTTTACAGAATCCCACAGGCGTAAGATTCTACTTGACAAAGTATTATATATATCTCATTGACTTCCATAGAATAATCAAATGCACCTCGCATACATGTATCCTGAGTGCATCGCTGTTGGAAATTTGAATACCAGATCCATGACACTGGATTTGGATGTTCTTATGTTTTGTTTGAGTACACCAAATTTTCCCAACGTGTGGTGCATTTCACATTGAAATGTGTGTCAGGTGAGTATTACATCTTCAATTTCTTGTGTAGTTTTGTTGTTCGTAAGAATCCATCTCTTGTGTCTTGCAGAGCTGGGAAGGGACAGTTTATGACCACCGGAAAAACGGAGACAGCATTCAGCAGCACATACATATCTGTCCTGTCCTGGGACATGCAGGGTGAGCTTCTTTCAGCTAGAAACTGTAGGAACTGGAACTTGAAGTATTGGCAAAAACGTTTACCAGACTATTGTAACTTGGACTGACAGTTAGGAAGACGGTAGAGCATGCAGTAGACTTGTATTTATTTTGTTTTATCATAAAAGTTTTCCTTTTTCTTCTTTTTAGAAACTTATAATCAATGTAATTTTAACCATATAGTAATCGTAACTATAGTGATACATTTACCGGTAGTTTTTTAGTTTCAATATAAAGGTAATTCATTTTTGCTATACTAGTACATGTAGTTTTATAGTTTGAATATAAAGTTTTCCTTTTTGTTCATTTTTAGAAAAATTACCCACTATGTGACCCTGAGGAGATCGGCTGGGCAGACCAACACCTCAGGGCCTCTACAGGTACCTACAACAGGCTCTCAGTGTGGGAAAATGTTACATGTATTAGTAATACTGTACCTGAAAATATTGCAGACTGAGGCAACCATCCTGAACAACATGCAAGATGCAGTTTCTATTGAGATATCCTTCTATATATGAGGATATCCTTCTATATATGAGGCTGTAGGGGTTCCTCCAAGGTTTCTTTTGCAGTTTGAAAATTTTGAATATGTTAAAAAAAGGGTAAAATCAGCATTTTGAAAGGGATGTGGAGGAAAAAAAAGGCTTTTTCTTTACTGACGTTGAGAGAAACTTGGACAGTATAGGCAAGTACTCCCCTTGTCAGTGACTTTGCATCATAAAGAAACGGTTACCTCTGTTGTGGGTAGGCCTGGTTAGACAGTTGGTTATGTTTTACTTGAACTGTTTCATCTGCCACACCTGTAGATTGTGATGGAGGAGTTTAGGAAGTTTTATTATCGTGCCGTACACGTAGGATCAGGCTCAGTCTCAGGCTCAGGCTCAGACCCAACGCAAACAAAGTGTCCCCGTAGGACAGTCACCCCGCGTTAGCCAGGACTACGGAGTCCCCAAGTCCCGTAGGCACTCGGAGTACGACGAGAGCGTGATAGGGCTGTGGACGCGCAGCTCCATGCTCCCTAAGGTCGACGCCGAGGCCCTGCAGGCTCTGATCGAGAAGGTGGAAGGGGAGCCGCTCCCTCCCGGTAAAGCCCACAGGAGGTACACGAAAGAGGAGTTGGCCGGCGTTGCCCACGTGGCGGCAGTCGCAGCCGTGACGAAGAAGCTTGAGGAGGTAGAGAGCGTAGGGAAAGCCGTGGTGACTCCCGTGGAGGGAGGCGAAAAGATGGGGCAGTCAGGAGGCAAGGAAAAAGGGGCAGTGAAGGCTGAAGAAGTAGGGGCAGGTAGTCAGGATGAAAAGAAGGAGCAAGGAGAGGCAGAGAAGGATGAAAAGAAAGAGCAGGCAGGTGTAGAGAAGGATGAAAACAAGGAGGAAGGAGAGGTAGAGAAGGGTGAAAAGAAGGATCAAGGAGAGATAGAGAAAGATCAGAAGAAGGAGCAGGTAGAGGTAGAGAAGGATGGAAAGAAAGAAGAAGGAGAGGTGGTAGACAAGGATGATTCAGGTGGTAGCAAGAAAGCTGATGGGCAGGAAGCAGTTAGTCAGGAGGAGGAAGGCCAACAGAAGGATGTAGATGCCGAGGAGGATAAGCAAGGGCCAGACAGTCAGGCAAAAGATGAGGGCACAGGGCAGTCGTTAGCCGATGGTTCTTACCTGGATGTCTGCGAAAAGGCCTACTTCGTTGTCAGGGTTCTCATCAAGGTATATGGTCTCCTCTGAAAGGTTATAGGTTAGGTTGTTAGGCAGGGTGATGTTTTCATTACATATTTGGGAATCAGAGACAACTCAGAGTCAAATATGCAACGTGTAGAGTTGAATGTCAAATTTTCAAAAGCTTGACTTGAGAAGACTTTCCTTGTCTGAATTAAAGAGAAAAGTTGTACTATACTAGGAGTGACGTCAAGATCTGTAGATGAAGCAGCTTTATATTATGTTTCTCCTTGATGTGTACTTTTACTGTAGACTGTGTTATGTTCTGACTATTTCCATCTCAAGCATATAAAAAAAATTACAAATCAAACTACAGTGTATTGTTTCCAACAACATCTAATTGAGGAAGTAACATGAAATGTATGCATCCTGTTAAGACTTAAAAGTCTCCTGACATACTATAGTTGTGAGGTTTGTTGTGACGTCATGTACTTACTTGTCTTGTATTATACCTTCTTTCAGTGTATTGAGAAATTGAAGGCAGATTCGGATCTACATTTGCAGTCAGGTAGGTGGAAATTTCAGACTGTTCGATTGTTTCACGCTGTGCATGTTCTTGGAGTTGTACCGTAGTTCTGTCTCTAATTTGATTGTGCCAAATGTTCCATATGATAGCTTGTAATGTGCAGAATGCTGTATTATGATGTACATGTATTGTGTTAACTCAGCAGTCAGTGTTCAAAGTTTAACCTACATGTCTATGTTGTGAAAAAAATGTACTTAAGGGCCACGCCAATGTAATAATAGATGATGCAACTAAAACAACGTCATGTCTTCTTTGACATGAGCTATACAATCAATTATGGAATGTCTAGATGATACTTGATACTACGTTGTCTTTATGTCTCATGGGCCTTCAATTTTTACATATTACCCACAGTACATCACAATGTCATCGTATTATGCATATTGTTGATGCCTATTCCAACATCCAGTGTTTGTATCCATTGGTGTATATACACTGTTGTCCCTCTAACGGTTTTCTCTGTTCGTTCATCCCTGTTCGCCCACATTGGTAGACTGCTGTAGACGTAAGGGGTCTAATGAGTTTAACACTCGCAAAAGCTCCTTGGATATTAAGTCCACTCACTCCGGAAACTCCACTTGTTTTGAGGGTTAGTCGTGCCTTCTGTTGTCTAGATGTCGTGGTTGTGAACATGTATGGTGTTAAGTGTGGTGGTGGGTTCTTAAACCGCTCATCGTGTGGCCTTCATTTTTGCCTGATTAAAGTGACGAAAAATCGGGTTACCTTTCCTTACTTCAACCTTTTAATTTTAGGTTAAATACCCTTCCCGTTTGGCCAAATGACCCCAATAATTTTGAAGTTGTAAAAATTCTTGTGACCATCCTTGTGACCATCATAAAGTTGTTTATAATCTTATCTTGAAAGTTCATCTGTGTTGGTAGAAGTCCTATAATATGCAGCAAGTTCAAACTAATTTCCAACACAAGAAATTGGACTCACCCAAATTTTCTGCAACGTATGCGTGACATCACGGAAGCAGTGGATTGTTCATTCGTTGACAAAGACTGGAGTTGTACAGTTGAAAATTTGGGCGAGTCCAATTTCTTGTGTTGGAAATTAGTTTAAACTTGCTGCATGATGAAGTTTGGGTGGGTCACCAACCTCAGGGTGGCTGAGCTGCATGCATATGTTTGCTTGTCTAGGTTGACAGCTCGTGGGTGGATGGTAGATTGGCAGGCAGAATTACAAGAAGTCAAAGGTCTCAGAATCGGAAGCTGAGCTCTGATTTCATGTTATTCATATGTCATATATTTATTATTGTTTTCCCAGGTGCGGGAGGCAGAAGGAGAGATTCGATTGCCAGGATACATGCCATGACCATTGAGGCACCCATCACCAAGGTATGGCCTCATGCAAATGACTATTGTCTGAAACATAATTCACATCTTATAAGTCTGTGAACAAAATTGCCATGACAATTTCTCTCAAATGACTAATATAATGCTTTCTTAGAGTGCATGTTTCCCACACAATATTGAAGGATTAACTTAACAGGTGACTATCACCTTTTCAAGACATCAACCCTGAGACCAGACTGTAAGGTTTGAACCACTCACACTGGGAAGGTCCCCTACTCTTTTTGAGTGTGGTGGGATCTTTCAAGTGTTTGAGGTGATGATAGCACTTGGGTTTGAAAATAGATAAATTCACAGTAATTCTTCAATGCTCTTATTTTTTTGGCGCACCGAATCTGTACAGTAGTGTGTTTTTGGCACACATTTTGACAGATCAGCCAAAGAGGCTCGATGGGCGTCACTCCACCGTACAGAGAAGTTGTATTTTAAAAGTGTCTTTCCCAAGGGCACAACGTCACTGCATGGTGGGTATCGAACCTGGGACCTCTTGGTTCTGAGTCCAACGCTCTAACCATTGCGCCACCAATGCCGACTCTATGCTCTCTTGCAGGTGATCAACATCATCAACGCTGCTCAGGAAAACTGCCACATCAACGTGGTTCACTCACTCACTCACTCACTCACTCACTCACTCACTCACTCACTCACTCACTCACTCACTCACTCACTCACTCACTCACTCACTCACTCACTCACTCTCACTCACTCACACACTCACACACTCATTCACTCATTCATTCATTCATTTGTACTTGCTCTCTTACAGGTGATAAACATTATGGATTTGAACCCAGAACCTTCAGATTCTGAGTCAACAGCCCTAGCAACAAGACCACTTTGCCACCTCTTACACATTGTATGCTCTGTTACAGGTGATCAACATCATCAACGCTGCTCAGGAAAACTGCCCCATCAACGTTGTCCAGGCGCTGGACAAGGTTCTCGAGATCCTGCGCTCGGCGGAGCTGTACTCACCGCACCTCACTGCCACGCCCAAGGACAACGACCCGGTCACATCCGACCTGGTCGAGGGGCTCATGACCGTGAGTTTTTATTTATTTATCTATTTTATTTATTTATTTAAATTGCCAACATTGCAATACTGTGGTAGGCCCTGGCAGCTGTAGCTGATCTCAGGCCCCACGTTATGAAATACATAATACATACGTAAACATGCACACATCATAGCACAATAAAGTCACAAACCACAGAAATCTCTTATACCTACAATCCATAACCTAGGCAAATGACAGTATAAACAAGTAACAATATAACTTAGTATGGTACCATGAGTTTTTGTAGTAGTGGTAGTGATTGGTTTATTTCTCATTAAAAAAAGATAACTGGAAATATAAACCAGAAAAGAAACGCTATACACACAGGTAATAACAGATATCTAAAAGGATTATAGGGACAGTTCAGATTAGTGAGCTGTTGGGAAACTCTGATTTTTCACTGTAAGAATGGAGAACTATCATCATGATATTATTAGCTGAATAGCAAAGTTCTTCATTCACAACCACTTGTTGAACAAGAGCCAATGTTTCGATGACTGTACATCATCTTCACTATACAATTATGACTGGTTCACTGTGTGCTGAAGCTAGTTTAGTTAAACTGAGTTTAGAGAACATTTTTCAAGCTGTTCGTAAGTTCAGATTTTCAACTAGAATAGAAAACTTTGTCAGGCTATATCATAATGTCCTGAATTTTTTTCTTACAGTGTGGGAGTCGTAGGAGATACTCGTCAGATATTGCGCTGTCCAAGAATGTCTGTAAGTTTGGTCAGAAGCACTACTGGTGTTGCTGGGACCTTGTAGAAATGAATTACTTAATAACCAGCAATTACATGTAGCAAATAGTTTGTTTCAAATCAGATTCAAATGAGGAAAAAACTTTTATCTTACCGTTTTATTGATCTTTGTTATTTGTAATATCCTTCTGATAGTGACTTCTACTGCCTATCCTTAGCCTTTGCCATTACTTTGATTCATTATTCACTAGTCTTCTTTAGCTATCATAATATGTATACAGTAGGTATAATTTGTCATTCAAAAATGCATAAGTTTATGTATTGACCTCTTGCTGCCATGAATCAGCACCTGATGCCTGTGGATGATTGATGTATTGATTGATGTGTGTGTTGCTGCAGTGCCACAGTTTGTTCCCAGCAGCCCCCACTCCCACCTGCCTGACATCCCTCCTGACGTACAGACCATCCTGGACAAGGAGCCACAGTGGGACTTCGACATCATTGAGCTGGAGAGAGTCACCAACAAAAGGTCACTGCCTGGCGAAATTACTGCTAAGCTTAGGCCATAGTAATTTATTTCCGTGGCTCTTGGACTTTTCAAGGTGAAAGAGTGCAAGCAGATATCATAAAAGTTACAGGTACCTACAACAATGATGCAAGCAGGTATCATAAAAGTTAAGGGAGGCGAACTTGAATATGACAGTGTATTTCACTCCATAAAACACCAAAGACAGCGAATGCATAAACTTGGTCCTCAAGCTTTGCTTTCATTTGTTATTGCAGATAAGCACAAAATCCATTGGCAAGTACCACCAAGTTAAATTGGTGTGGCCTAGTTGTGGATCTGAATAAGCTCAAACTCATTCAATACATGAAAGCTAGAGAGGCTTTCTTTCCTCTTGCTAACTTTTTGCTACAACTGATTTAAAACCAAATGATGTCGGTTAGCTGAGGAATGATTCCACTCCACTCATACTTGCATTTCCCATATGGTGGGTTCTCGAACTGATGTTCCTGTCCCCTGCAGGCCCCTGCTGTATCTGGGCATGAAGATCTTCTCCCGGTTCGGTGTCTGTGAGGTGCTGAACTGTTCGGAGGTGACGCTGAGACTCTGGCTGCAGCTGGTGGAGAGGAACTACCACCAGATCAACGCCTACCACAACTCCACCCACGCCGCCGACGTGCTGCACGCCACCGCCTACTTCCTGGACAAGGACAGGATAGCGGTACTGCTCATTCTGTTGCTTACTGACACAATATGATGTACAATTACATTGAAAGTTCATCTGTGTTGGTAGTTACACGTTTTCGAGTTAAACTGTGCAATATTTAAGGAAACTGTGCAATATTGTATGTCCTGATGTGCTGTATGATGTTATGTCTAATGTCTCCCTGCATGTTCGGTAAATTATGGTCGACTTGACCTGGGATATCAATATTCCTTTGTTTTATTTGTGAATAAAGAATGATTTTACTACTCTGTATCGGTATAGACAGTATAACTGCCGTTCGGCGTAACGCACCAGCTTCACAGGCACGCGGCGCAGCAGCAGCCAGATTACTAAGTTTCTTGCTATCCTTCTCACAACTGTAAACTATACTACTGTTATGTTATCCTCTCATCTAAGAAGATATCCCTAACCGAAGCTAAGTGTTACAGTGTGGTTCAAGCACCACCAATTGTGTAACAGGTCTGGACCTTTTAATCTAGCAGTTAGGATGTTGTGGTCGTAAACAGGGCGGTCTGGGTTACGTCTAGTATTTTTTAGCCTATTAGTAGCTGTCATTTATACCACATCTGAGAGGACATCCCTTATATAGAACCATTTAGCTAGGTACTCATCTAAAGTGTAAATTGCCTTCCTAGGGCTTAAAATACGTACCACCAGGTCCTGCATATAAAGTTTAGTGCAAAGCCAGGTAGAATTGGGGTTGTGCAAGTATTTCTGATGTCTACTTACACCTAACCTGCGGTGGGCCATGACAAAACCAGCTTCAGACACTAGCCAAACTGACTTGTATCATTGAAGACAGCAGAGAGCTTAGAAGAATTAAGAAATGGTGCTACTAGGAACAAATAATATTGATGGAACTGAAAGGCAAAGACTGAAGTACAGTGCAGGTAAAACTTGTCTGGCGCAGGTGGTTTTGAATGTTACAAAATTATTTCCTGCTAGGGGGATTTGAACCTAGATTCAAAATCGACAACACTAACCACAAGAGACTAAGACCACCTTGCCCATGTCCCCCTGTACAGGGCCTCCTGGACAACATGAACAAGGTAGCGGCCCTGCTAGCGGCAGTGTCCCACGATGTGGACCACCCAGGCAGAACCAACTCCTTCCTGTGTAACGCCGGCAGTGAACTCGCCATTCTCTACAACGATGTGTGAGTACATCCTCCACCTTCTGACTTGCCTCAAGGATTTTTTTGACCAGGACAATTTTTCCAGAAGCTTTGTTATATTCGGTGAGAGCTGTCAACAGCACAAAAGAAAACATGATGCACAACAGACTCGTACCCCGTTTCCTTGTTTTGAAATGGCCTCTGTTTTCTCAGTGTTGTTACCGTTTTCGACTCGCAGAAATGGTACATCCATATTCATACATGCCTTAATCTCAATTTATTTCTTCTGAGGTGAAAATGTCGAAAGTGGACATAAACACTGTGCTTGTATGATTGTTTACAGGGCTGTGTTGGAGAGCCATCATTCAGCCTTGACCTTCCAGCTGACCTGGCGTGACGATCGCTGCAACATCTTCAAGAACCTGAGCAGGTAGACTTTCAGAAATTAGTGCATAGCTGGCTTAGCCCAAAACCCAGAGCATAGGTACAGTGTTCTCTTTTGAAGGGTAAATGTGACAGGCAAGGTGTCAATTACTAGTAGGCAGCTTAGATCATATTGTGTAGCACTTCTTGGAATAGTCACTTGTTCTACTTGTCACCATTGTTAGCTTGCACTGTCTCCGTACTCCTTCTATACATGGTTTCATGTTGCAGTCAGCCCCCGGGCATCAACTTGTAAAATAAACTACTATACTACTATCATGAAAGTTCATCTGTGTTGGTAGTTACCTGACATTGTTTCAAGTTATTAGAACTCCAACATAAAGAAATTCTCGCACCCGGGTCAGGTCTACTGAGGAAGACCAGAGAGAGAATTTCTTTGTTTTGGATCAAAAGTTTTAACTTTTGACATAAACTACTCCTATTTATTTTCCCCAGGGATGACTATCGCATGCTGCGGCAGCAGATAATCGACATGATCCTGGCCACTGAGATGACGCGGCACTTTGAGCACCTGTCCAAGTTTGCCAACAGCATCTCCAAGATGGGCACCTCCGCACGGGTGGAGGACGACCGCCTCTCCTCGGTTAGTACTCCAGGAAAAATACACAGGACACTTTAGACATAGGTTACAGATTCTTATCTGATAGATTTGCTGATTCTACAGGCGGTAGAGATCAGAGTCTAGATTCAGCTGAATACGTGTGTCCTGCATCTGAATACAGTCATTTATGTTGTATTGAAGGGGATGGCCGTTGTGGGTGGCGTCTATCTCCTTAGATGGGATGTCATCCTTGAGCTTGAAAACGTGAATACGACCTGTGACGTGTGCTAGTGATGTAATCCTGTGTGGGTGTAGCTACCATATTATGAATGTCTCTGTAGAACAATACAATCTGATAAGGTAGTGCTTTAGCACAAAATTTGTATTGTTTCATGGTTAAACCATGACACTCATCCCGATCTCCCCCTACAGCACAGCGGTGGTGTGGCCACCCCGGAGCATGACACTCTGAGGACCCTGGAGAACCGGACGCTCATCAACCGCATGCTGATCAAGTGTGCCGACATCGCCAACCCCGCACGGCCGCTGGACCTGTGTGTGGAGTGGGCCAAGAGGATCGCTGAGGAGTACTGCCAGCAGGTAGGGAGGGTGCAGCGTAGCCTGACTAAATTGTACTTCTAGGATACAGGAGTTTTCCCTTTACACAACCAAGATTTCTCACCTAAGTGCTTACATTTTGAGTTCTTGGTTTTACTGGTCCCTCCCAAAGGAAACATCCAAAGGAACACCAATAACCACTCTCAAAATGTGGGAAATTACGTTTTTAAAGACTTGAAATTCCAAAATTTGCCCCCAGACCCCCTAGATAGTGAGCACTCTCTCTCCCCAGGTCTGATCATGAACCTGGGCTGATGGAAAAAATTCAAGCTGGCTACAGCTACCAAGATGTCTGACCACCCTCTGTCCCTCCCTAGACTGATGAGGAGAAGGAGCAAGGTCTCCCTGTGGTCATGCCTGTCATACCGGGCCTCCTGCAGCAGGAGAGAGTAGCCCAGCCATTACCAAATAACAATTACATGATTTACAATACATGTTACATGATTACATACATGTGTCTCCTCCACAGACTGATGAGGAGAAGGAGCGAGGCCTCCCCGTGGTCATGCCTGTGTTCGACCGAGCCTCCTGCAGCAGGAGAGAGTAGCCCAGCCATTACCAAATAACAATTACATGCTTACATACATTGTTACATGATTAAATACATGATTACATACATGTTACATACATGTATCTTCCCCACAGACTGATGAGGAGAAGGAGCGAGGCCTGCCCGTTGTCATGCCTGTGTTCGACCGGGCCTCCTGCAGCATCCCCAAGTCTCAGATCTCCTTCATCGACTACTTCCTCACTGACATGTTCGACGCCTGGGATGGTGAGTTCTTACAGTTAAAACCTTGCATAATATGAATAAAATCAAGCAACTGAATGATTGTAAACTGATTGGATTAAGTTGGTGTATTGCAGAACTTTGTCTCTTTCCACCCATTAAACCCACCAGGTCCCCGGCATAATTTCACACCAGGTCCGGCATTTGTGGATACTCTGTCTGTCCCAGATCAGCCTATTGTTATACAGATTTCATGCTACTGGAAAGGGTCCTAAGTTATTACATTGTACGTAAGGTGTGGTCCACTGTTCATTGTACTTGTTGAATAGAGCTAGGGGAATCTCCTAGGTACAATGAAGCTGTAAATACTGTTCATGTCACCTGTCTTCTCTGTCACCACCAATGGAACATTTGCTCTTAAGGAAGCTATACTGCTACGAAATCACATTGAATTCACTTCTCACTGATGTCATTTTCCATACCCCCCCTCCCAGCGTTTCTGGACACGCCGTCCCTGATCACCCACCTCACCAGGAACTACAAGTACTGGAAGCAGCAGGCAGAGGAGGCCGAGCGGCGCGGTGAGAGCGTCACGCGACTCGAAGATGTTGAGTGAACAACCGTCGGAACTTTAGTAAAATAACCTGATAACAATATATTGCTGCCTGTGTGATTATACAGACAGGTATGCTTCAGGTACATTCCCCGAAAGTATGCATATTATGAAGATTGTTGAACAGCCTTCGGAATACAAAAAAGAAAACCCTTCATAACAAGATAACAATTTATTGCTGTCTGTGTTATTGTTTATACATACATGTATGCTTCAGGTACATTCCCCAAAAGTATGCATATTATGAAGATTGTTGAACAGCCGTCGGAATACAAAAAAGAAAACCCTTCATAACAAGATAACAATTTATTGCTGTCTGTGTTATTGTTTATACATACATGTATGCTTCAGGTACATTCCCCAAAAGTATGCATATTACGAAGAGATTGTTTATGGATATTATCACTACCTTTTTCAGCAAGAACAAATGAGAAGACGGACACGGTTTTACCCATGTTGTAACGTCGTGGTTTTGTGAAACACTAACAGTCAGCCATTGTGGAATCTCTATTAAATTCTTGAACTATGACTGTATGAGATTAAAGATGTCGGAGTCTTGTTTTAAACAGGGACCAATGACTTGTGTCAAATACAGATTCCTATTATAATATACAGTGTTTATGTATGTACAGTTGTAACTTAAACAATGGAAATATAAACCCTACACATTCCAGTGTTAGTTTTGTCTGTGGTTTGTATTAACCTTAACAAAACCAAGTTCATGTGCAAGAATAGCTCCCTTTACAAAATGTAGTTGAGCCAAGGCCAAGGCCAAGTGCAAGAAGAGAGAGAGCTACAGTAGCTCAAGCCTAGATCAGAGGGATGTGTGGCTCTCCAGTGTAACTAATAGTTGTTGTGCCAAACATTCAAAACTATTTATCAGTAGTCAAACCATAAGAATCATATATCTGTAATAATGTGCAGTAAGAGGAAAGTGTAAAGTTTACGTCCCAAAATCTTGTCTCCAGAGTGTAACGTTATTCGATGTTGTACAGTGTCACTTCTCTAACATGTTGAACCTTCATAGATGAAACATAATATAATGTACATAGTTATGTTATTATTATATAGCACCAGTGACCTCTATATCTGTATACAGGGTTGGTTTGGAAGGGACTTTCATAGAGCCAACCCAGCAGAGAAACATTCAAAGCAAAGCTCCATCGTAACAGTTTACATGTCATGAAGAATGGGACAGTACAGTCTGATGTAAGGGTTTTCTACACATTTTGGAACTGATCTTTGTACTTTGTACTCTTGATCTTGAAAGTAAGTAGTACACTAAGTAAGGGAGATGTAAAGAGAACCCACGAGATCAGGTGCCTTGATGTCACAGTACACTACAGTAACTGTTGTCTCTACATGCAACGTGCATCTACCACAGAAGAATGTACATCATCAGAAAATATTAGGAACAGTATTTGTGTAAGATGTGCTGGCTGAATTGTCACTATGTCAGCAGAAGGACTCCAGATCTAGAGGATTTCAGCCAGGTTGTTTGTTGTGCTGACAGAGTGTAAGCAGTGTACATATTTATATCTATATATGTACGTATTACATGTCATGTAAAAGTTGTGTATTTTTAGAGCAGTTTTATCCAGCGTCACCTCAGAGGGGCTACAGAATTTTTACACGGCAGACTCTGGAACAGGAATATATGTAAGTTGATTTGCGAGTGAGCAAAGTGTGTATTAAGTGATAGTCAAAGCTATTTTCCTACAAGGTTCACATGCCTTCTTGTCTATTGATAAGTACTGTACAACAGGAGGTAGTGATCAAGATCATTAAGAAAAGGAACACGATGTTGTGTAGTATCCCCCCAGAGCAGACCTTGTTTGTTCTCACATAGGGCTGTGTACATGTACCTGATACCTGTGAAATTATTTAGGTACAGGTCTGGACCTGAACATCTGGTGTATCTGTACCTGTACCTGTACCTCAACCAAATAAACAACAGAGGACATCCGTTTTGTTTTACACTAAAGAGAGCTAAGTTGCATCTCAAAGATTGCAATTTTTGTAGCACTTGAAAATTGAAAAAAAAACTTGTAAATACTTGTTTTTACATTGAAATTGTTATAGTTATACAGAGACAACAATGTACCACTAAAAAATCGGCTACGTCGGCCAAACTTGTGACGGTACATACATGTAATGGTACCTAAAATATGTTTTGGTACACAGCCCTTCTACCACTGGAACAAGGCCTGCTCAGGAAGGATACAAGGATACATGTACACAAGTAACGGTTATGTGCTATGATAATTGTCAGTGATCTTTTAGGTATAATATATTGGAAATTGTGTGAATATGGAGAACCCTGTGCCAGTGAGATGTATTTTTGTAAAATGGTGAGTGACGTGGGTGGGGTGGGGTTGAACACAGAAAAGTTCTCTCTGTATCAGAGAACTTAGACTACAGAGGACTACAAATGTGCAACATTCCAGTTGTATTAGAAAGCTTGTAAGCTTGACAAGAGATTTCAGGCAACATTCCATGCATAGTTTCCCATGCAATGATGTGGTGAAACTTTTATGCTGACTCATCTGTATTTATACTAGAAAGACATGTCTGCCAAAGACCGACCAATCCTCATAAAAGAATGATGACCTGCAGCCATTCCCAAACATATATAATATGAACATATCTTTATTATTTACTATCCCTGCAAAAATATTTATATATCTATATATACATATCTTTTAACATGTGGAAATCTTGTGAATGTGAAGTTTTATCAAATGTAATGTTATCCTGTACCAGTGCCAATGTTCCCATAATAATAAAATCACTCAAGTGACTTGCAGTAATCCTTTTTACAAGTTATACATGAATTTTATGTTTCATGTTCACTATATAGAAAAGAAACTTGTGGATGAATCAGGAAATGTTTAGGCTCTCAGATTCAAAGTCTGACACATTAGACATTTTTTTCTTCATGCCAATTACATTGGTATAGAAAAGATACATATAAACTTGAGAACAGAAAAATATTGAAATGAAAATTGTGGCGTTTTTAGTTCAATACTGAATGGTAGTGATTTCACAAGGTTTTTAAAAAATGTCAAAATTATGACATTTTCAGTTCAATACTGAATGGATGGCAGTAATTTTACATCTCTGTGAAACAATTGACAGACAGGAGCTATGGAGACTGAAGTTTCAGGATGTTTTGGAATGTTTTAACTGGCCCCAAGCTGAAGCATCTCCCTGATGAACTCATTTCTGTGTTCTGACTGCACAGCACCATCCTGAAAAAAATTAGTTAGTTACTCAAGGAAAGGCTGCCTTTATATTAGTAGTACTACATTAAAGCTTCATCAGGTAAAGGTACAGGTTGCTAGATGCACTTCATGCATTGATTTGGAAGCATGGATAGCCTTATCAAATCACACTCCTAGCTGCCCCTATGATGCTGAAGGTTAAAAGGAAAATGTGTGATGGCGTTTCAGCACCAAGGGCAGATAGTAAAGAAAAGGAAAGGCTGCCTATATATTAAGACAGTACATTAATTCGTCAGGTAGATAAAGGTCTCTAGATGCACTTAATGCATTGAACTGTGTTACAGATTTTGGAAGCGTGGATAGCAGAGTCATAGCCTGACTAAATCGCACTCTTAGCAGACCCACCCCTTTCATGGAGGGGGCCAGTTAGCGAGAGATTGTGTTACACAGGCTAGGGGTGTAGAGTTGTAGGTATTGTTTTGTTAACAAGTTTATGCTGCCATATTAGTGTACACAGTAGTGCTGAATTAACCTTCTCCCTGCTGCCTAAGCCTCGAACCAATGCAGACTTAGTGCCAACTGGCTACTTTAGCAAGCTGAAGGTTAAAACTTAAGGTAATGGTGTGATGGCTTTTCAGCGCCAAGGGCAGAGATAGGCTAGCCAGTACTACATGTACTACAAAATGTATATGGTGTGACAGAGATGCAAACTGGAGCTGGAATAGAATGAATCCCAGGCTACTACCAACCCAGCGCCGACCCACGAAAGTTGTGGGAGGTTCCAGAAATGTGAGACGGAGACTTTAGGTGAAAGGTTACCTTCCACAGTATGACCAGCCTGTCTGTGCCACAGGAGGCCAGCCCATCTCCACCACAGTCCAGCAACATCTGGGAAAGGACAACAGAAAACATTATAAACTCATCTGTCTGGTCTTGCCAAACTTTCCCTCTAACATTCTCATCTAATTCAGTCGAAACTAACCCTCTAACATCTGGTGAATAACACAGTGTTCTGTACTTACTGGGTTATACTACTGTTGCCTAACTCCACGGCCAGATGCCCAAATTTGGTGCCAAATTTCTACCTTAGCATGCAGAAAGCAAGTATCTGTTTTTCAATTGAAGAATGTACACATATTGCATTTTAAAAGCCTTCAGATGTAACTAACTACTAACCTGCACTGTGCCAGCATGACCTAGCAGCTCCCCTAGCAGAGCTGGCTGGAACTGCACCACACTCTTGCTCTTCCCTTTCACATCTTCTTTCCCTGGACTGTAGGCAGAGGAAAGTTTAGTAGGCTTATAGATCAAATTACATGTACCAAGAAAAGGTAACAGAATTATACAGTCACATTACACATACACATACATATGCATACACACATGCACTGACAAGCACGCACGCACGCACATACGCACACACACACACACACACACATACACACACATGCATACACACATGCACACAAACACACACAGACACACACACATATACATGCATGCATGTACGCATGCGCACAGGCACATAAAGCCAGGAACAATCATGATGTAAAGTCACAATGTCAGTAAAAATGTAACAAAACTGCAGAATCTACAGAAAACTGAAGCTGCTGTTACCTGATTCCCATGAATCTGTCGATCTGCTTGGAGTATCTTGGCTTCTGTTCCTCCGCTGTCTCCTCGGTCCTGGCGGCTGTGACCCCAGGTGACCCCCACAGCCTGATGGTCCCGTCAGCAGAACATGTGGCCAGGAAGGACCTACAGAATGACAGACAGGAGCCACGGTTTGTTTCAGTCCTATCATACAAAATTAAGCAACAGTGTCTGGGTTGGAATATATGGCCTCCTTCAGTCAGCAGAACAGACTGGAGAGTGCTGGCGGAAAACAGAACATCCTGGAGGGACATGGCTACAGCCGTCATGCATCTACTCTGATGCCTGCGGCTTGATTGATTCAGTCAATATTAACCATGGTAAAATCATAATTGATATCAGCTCTACAACTTTGGCTATGGCTGCACAGTCCTACATGTACATGAGAATGACAGTCTCTGCCACATAGGGCACATTTTTTTTACGCTGACTCATGCAGGTCTGTTGCCGAGTTGTTTTCTGCACAGTGCATCTGTCTAGCTTCTACTGATTTTAGTTGCCTGAGCAGTGTGGACCTAGCCTGGGTACCATCCGGATTTTTGCTCCGCAACGCTCATAATTTTTTTGAGCATTGCGGTGCAAAAATCCGGATGGTACCCAGGCTAGTGTGGACCTCCAGCTTCCTGAAAGCAGAATAGATTTAGTTAGTTACTCAATGAAAGGCTGCCTAATATACAACATGTATATTAGACAGTACATTAAATAAATGCTTTATTAGGTAAAGTATGGATAGCTTTACAAAATTGCACTCTTAGCAGCCCGTATGACTGGGTGAAGGTGACAAGGTGATTGTATGATGGCTTTTCAGCACCAAGGGCAGACCATCACACTACCTGCACACTATATTGTATTTTGTAATTAGGAAAATTCGCAATGTCAAGAATAAATCACCTCAAGCAATGCCTGATGACTTACCCCCCTCCCAGCAGCACCATGTGTTGTATCTTGGAGAAGTGGGCTGCGACTTTCTTGGCCAGACACTTTCCTGTCACCACGTCATACAGCCAGAACCCCGCACCGATGGCGGCAAACAGGTAGCGCTGAAAAACATGAAGCAACAGAGACTACAATCAAAGTCTACAATCATAGTTCTTGTGATTATTAGTTCCATGAAACCACCAGGTCCCTGGAACCATCAGGACAGGTTGTGGCGCTGGATAGATATTTAGGTACATGTAGGTAGATAGGTAAGAAGGCAAATGTGGTAGCATATCTTAACCTTCTCCTTACTGCCTAATCCTATAAACAATAGAGAATTGGTAGCAAAGTGGCTACTTTTGTATGCTAAAGGTTAACCTGATAGCACTGTGTTGTTGCTACAGAGATAACGATTTCTCCCATTGATAGTTAAATGTCTGGTGTACTTTTTAGTACTTAAGCATTGTCCACAGCTTCCCCAGTTCTATATACATGTAGTACTCTGGCCATGTAAGATGGGATTGGATCTTCTTTAGATCCTTCTTTAATAGGAGGGCAGCAAGTCCTTCCTAGAGTCACTATAATTATAATCACTGACAACAGATTGCAAACCCCCTGACATACCCCTTTTGACCGGCACAATAGCTCAATTGGTAGAGTGCTCGCTTTGTAACCGGGAGGTCGTGAGTTCAAATACCAAAGACTTTAAAAATGGAACACACTTCTTTCTCTGCTCAGCACTTCAGCACATATGAGAAAGAGTGTGGGAAGGTCAAACACAGCACTTCAAGCGCACCAGCCCCCTGCTGTAGTGCATTGCACAACTGTGTGTCACCCAAGGGCTACAGAAATGGATATGGGCACCACTCTACGCTCTGCATAAGGGCACGGGAGACCTTTGTTTTGTTTCTTTCTCACCTCCTCCACAGGGACGATACACTGTATGCTCCAGGGGTACAGGTGGTTCACGCCCTGGGGGGAGCGAGCACTGCTGCTCAGCTTCCGCGTGAAGTGGACCGAGTGCGCCGACGCCCACAGCACGATGGTCCCGTCCAGGGAGCCTGTCGCAAACACGCTGTCTGTGTGCACAGAATAATGTTGACAACAGCCTAAATAAATACAGGCTTGTCATGGGATGTTGCTTGTGCCATGTTGGATTACAGTGTATGATGTTAATGAAAGCCTCTATAGAACAGTAGGTATCACAGTATAAAATCAAGATGTCATTACAGGAGAAAACATTTACTACAATTTACAACCACATCACACAGATTCTTTCTATGGATTGCAAAATCATGGAACTCTTTATATGAAAAGTCTTTCCCTCCCAAATACAACACATGTGTCCAATGTTCATCACCATCTCCTAGCCTCCATACCTCCCATTAACTTAATACTACCATTGCTGGACTGTAATCTTAATTGAACACTGTCCTCCTTCATGATTGATGCAAACCAACCTGACACATTGACCAGACTCTGTATGGCCTCCCTGTGCTGCACATGTGGATGTCCATACTCCTCCAGCTGGTACAGACCACCAGTCTCCATTGGGCTGGTGACTTTAAACACCACTGCAGCACAGAAGGCATGCAAGAAGAGAAAGAGACAGTTGTGTTTGTGTCAAAAATGAATTTGGATATGAGACAAAAATCTGTCACGTAATGTTTCACCTAAGCTGGTAACTGTGAAACAAGAGGGATGTCTTCATCCGTACTCACTTAATGTTTTGTCTGACACTGCAGCCAGTTTCTCATTTGGGATGCTCAGCACCAGGGAAATGTCAGCTGGAACAAACACAGATTGGATAGTATATTTCAGATAGGTCTCATAATGATGATAAAAAAAGTTGTAATAGGTGAGTAACTATTTCAGTCCTATCAGTAACTGAAAGTTTTTCTAGATCATACTTTTTCATTATTGCATACTTGCAAACAAAATTGCTCACTGACAACAAACCCTATCAATATGTCTTCAGTTCAGTTCAATAAGCTGGTTCATGGGTTGAAGTACACATGTGCAGTTTAGACAGTATGAACCATCTTACATTTGTATACACCAGCTGACTTACTTTCCGCCGTGCCCCTGTCCAGTCTGTGCAGCAGCTCCCCCTGCTGACTCCACAGGCTGAGGTCATGACCTCCGGAACACCACATCCCCTGCCGCAACTCCACCATACACTGTGGGTAAATTCAAAGGACAAAATATTTTGCAAGCAGGCAGGTCTTACATATTACACAATGTATTAAGGAGTATGCTGAAAGAAAGTGGTAGTGACCAGTTTAGCTCATGAACTCGGCGATCTTGCTGAGCTACTCTGGTTGTGACATAGAAGATAGACACTACATGTATGTAGAGTCATTCATTGTTCATTGTAACAGGGAAATTCCCTTAGCTTTTTTCGAAAGCATAACGAACAGTGGACCACAGTTTAACACCCTGTCATGAGGACAGCAACCTTTCCAATGCAAGTTGGGTGAGTGACAACAGCTGGGATTCAAACTCACGACCTCTTGGTCTGGAGGCAGGGTCACTAAACAGTTAAACTCACTGATGAGTTAGACATCACTTCACTAATTCTGTCCCTGTTGTTGTGAAACTATGACTGAATAGCACACCTTAACACTGGAGTGGAGTTCAGTAATGGTCTGCAGACACTGTCCTGTATTCACATTCCACATCTGAATTCTGTCAAGGAAGTCGTCAGTTTTAAACATCGAGGATGATCATGGGCAGCAAAGGGAGTCCGATATCAATAAAAATGAAAAAGATTGAGCAAAAAATGCATGCATCTATGATCTGCACTATGTTGAAGTTGAGCTACCAAGGACTCAACTACATGTACTCAATTGTCTCAACTGTCAATGGGAAAAATAGCCTGAATGTGACCTCTTCTTGGTGGTAACATTCAGGCTATGATTGTGATCTGTGTGTAGAGGTGGTTACCAGTACAGATTTGATACAAACAGCACTTTATTAGGATACACAGATGTGCTTGTCCGATGATGCTGTGAGAAGGATAGGGTCCCTCAGGGCGGCTGAGCTCTCATCATCATCATGGAAGCTGGTCTTCTGCACCGTCAGCAGAAGCAGGGACGTGATTGGTCGGTCATGGCCGGAAAATGTGAAAAGTCTTCTTCCTGTCTGCAAGTTTGAAAAAAAAAAAGAATTGAGAAACACACTCTGTCTCTCTATCTGGTTTATCGTCTATTGATCACTGTAACCAAGGGTTATGTGCTTTTACTCTGATGCTGGGGCTTGCTATTTGCCTCTGTCCTGTGGTTCTTGTGCATAGCAAATGTCAACATCCCTGCAGGTTAGAGTCTCAGCAACTTCACCAGCTAGCCACACAGTGTCCCAAGATTAGGTGTCTGATGCAATCCATGATTTACACAGTATCAATGCACTGCACTAACAAATATTTTGGCCTACTAGTATGCATATGCCTGCATATCCTTAGCCTGGGTGCCATCCTCCGTAGTAACTGGCAACTTCCTATATTGTCACAGGCTATCACGGAGGATGGCATCTATGGGCCAGTGTATTATATGGACTCCTTTTCCCTTCTTCCACAAAATTAAGCCCCATGAAAATACATGAAGTTACCTGTGTGTGCCAGAGTATTGCTATTCCATCGTCCCCAGCTGAAACAAACCTGGAAAAGACATGTGGGTCAGTATTGAGCCATCTACTGTGAGACCAATTTGTACATCACTTTGGGAGTACATGTATTTTCATTGTTCTGCATTCGAAGAGCTGATCCTGTTCCAAATTTCTTAAAATAAAATCTGTTGAATCAAGGTATATAATATCAGTCAGAACAGACGTTTCTCTTTATATCGTCTAACAATGTATCTTTCATACGTATTTCTTAAATATTTTGCTACGCACATGTAGTAGGTGCAATTTTCTTTGGCATTCACCTGACCTGACCAGAGACAAAAGACCTGGATGGAGTGTGTCAGGAAGGACATTAGAGAGTGTGGCCTTTGTCAGTGTTAACCTGCTGGATAGGGCCACCTGGAGGTGTGGAGTGAAGACCAGTACTACTAGCTGACTGCTGCCAACCCCTGTGGCAGGGACAATAGCAGCAGGATAATCAGATCCTGGATACTGAGTGATTCACATTCACACCTGGCAAGTTCTGTCGACCCACCTGGAAGAATCTACTGGATGTAGCAGCCGCACCATGTCAGTGTGATTCTGCAGTACCTGGATCTCTGTGTAAGGGTTCCTCGGCTGGTGTTCTCCAATGTTGGGAACATCTGCCTGTTATAAATATCATATATGATAATGTTATCTAATTTATATAATATCAATATTCTAATGTCAACATTGTCATCTTTGGGTTTGGGGCGGAATGCGTTCGAATAAGTACGATCCGGTCCAGAGTTTAACATCGAAGGTTATCGGGGCCTGGGACTGATATAAATAATGTTATCTCCTTATCTTCTTGGCTTGGCTTCGTGTCCGAATGTTATCTATAAACTTATCAAATGTTGATATTGTCGAGAAGAAGAGAGAATCTAACTGTTATATTATGTTAACATCATAAAATTTGGGCTCATTTAAATTGATGTAAAGCAAAGAATGATCACTGGCCCACAGATTTTTCACCCTCCTTGGTCCTATCAACAATTGAACGTAGGTGTCCATCACAACAAAACTTATTCCACCTGTGCGGCTACATCAAAGCTCAGGTTGGTGACTCAGACAGTCATCATCATCAGTAAAGTTTCTACCTCTTTTGCCATCTCTCCTTTCGCCAGATCATCGTTTGACCGAAGGAGCCGTTTCACTATCGTGGACATTGTCGAAGCACGACCTCAAAAGTTTATTTTGAGCTAGCAACGCACGAAAACTACCGACACTGTATGATTTTCCGTGTTTTTCTACAACTTTCATCGAAAACCAGCTGACTGCGCGATGACCTACTTTTGTTAGAGGTCACCGCGCAGCTCATTTGCATAGAAAGGGAAGGAAGGGAAGATGTCGTCCATGATTGGGTAAGTTTATCGCCAACCTTCCCCAAAAATCGACAAGAAATAACCCTCACGTAAACATTAGAAGGACAAAATTGGTCAGATTCGATTGTTGAATGTACGGGGTATTGTTGACTGACAGAACATTGGGTCTATAGTGCAACAATTGAACACTTTTAGTCGAATTATTTCGTGCATCGCTACAGAAGCGCGTGCGTGCTATGGTCCCAAATGGCTTTCTTTTCTTTTGTTTCAGTTTTTGACCCAGTTTTGCTCTTTGGTAGACCGGCTCAAAGCGAAAGCTCCGAGATCTCGTTTGCTTGCTTGCTAAGACCCATTTCAATCTCTTGAATTTCAGCAAAAGTCTCACTGTACAGTGGCAGGCAAATGATTTATGTCTGAAAATAGCACCCTGTTATTTATGTGCCTCGCTGTTGGTTGTTGTGTTTTCTCAGACGATCTCTGCATAATTTTGTGCCAGTCAAAGCATGCAGCACAACTGGATGATTTACACCCAAATGTACACTTAACAAATGTGTCGGTAACGTAAAGTTACCTCAGTTTATTGTCTACATTTATGCCAGCTTTTTTTCCTGTAATTTGTTACGCCATAAAGATAAACATACCCTTGCATACATGTAGGATGTCATTTGTCAATAGCCTCTACCAGGCTTCGGGAGGTGGCTGGAAAGAGTAGAAATTGGCCAAATAGAGAGATTACATGCCAGGAGAGTTGGTTCAATTGAGAATACAGTTTGCCGCACTGTACTCTATAGCAGACCAACTCCCCTGGCATGTAGTCTCTCTAGTATGTGGCCGATTTCTACTCTACCAGCCACCTCCCGAAGCCTGGTAGAGGCTAGTTTGTCAACACAGCAGTACAAAATTGACAGTAGAAACATTTAAGCAAAGAAAAATAACAACCACTGTGATCTTCACTAACAAGGATTACACTATACGCTACTGATACAACATGTACCAGATGTCATGAATCATGATGGTGATGAGAGAGGCCTGTAGCCTGGATGCCAGACTGTTCCCAGGGCCAGTGTTCCCAGGGATCCAATCCTCACAGCATCATGAGACAAAGATACATGTATGTGTATTAAAGAAAGACCTTTCTTTGTTGTACATTTCTGCTTTCACAAGCCAGATACAGGTCATGGTGATAAAGTTCTTTGTACTTTCCTGAGGGATTCTATCTTTCACACTGCATCATCTAGAAAAACATGTAACCGTTATATTTGTAATAAAGTACCAGCCTGGGTGACATCCTCAGATGGCTCCTATGTCACTAGCCACCACCGTAGGCATTTGTTACAGCAGTTTCAGACAGACTAAATGTTGCTTCAAGCCTAGGTGCCATCCTCTGTAGTTTCTACGAGCTTCATAATGTTGCTACCGTGGTTGCCAGCGACATAAAGCTTAGGGAGCCGGTGGAAACTATGGAGGATGGCACCCAGGCTATGTTGCAGAAAGAAATCACACATACCTTTTCGTGAACCACTGCTGGTAAGCACTTTGTACATTTTGTGCAATGCACTTATACTCCTCATTAAGAAATCCAGGACCTGCATTCAGGGAAGGAATTTTATCTGTCTGTAATCTCTGTGATGGCTATTAAAAACTCATCAACTGTCATGGAAGTATGGGAGGGAAGTAAGGCAGGTCTTGGAAATGTGACACATGGGATAGGGTTGACCAGTAGCTACTACCCTGGGGAATATACTGAAAAATTTGTTTATTTTTGCATGAACTTAACTTGATGTAGAAGGGGAAACAAAGTTTCACTGTGTTTTAATTTAAGGTTGTGGTGGATACAATTCTGTATTACACGTGTGGTGTCACAAATTCATTGTTACAGTTAAGAGGTCACTGTGAAAACTGAGAATATAAAATCACAGTTACAATTTCAAGATTTACAGTATAGTTCAGAGAAAGGTTAGTGACTTGTGCGATATAAGTTTGGCTGTATTCAGTGTATTGTTACGTAGTACCGTACCTAATGTACATGTACATGTATTTGGCTAGTCTTACCATTAGCAAGTGCATGTGTCAGTGGTATTTTGAGCCCTGCCTTAGGATTTCTTACTACTGATATTAATGAGGTTACCATGTTGCTTGCAGTGGTATTCTAACTGGTGGACAAGTTGGACTGTATGATAAGTATATAAACACACTCTACTGTAAGGTCATTAGAAGGATGCACATTTTATGAAGACAGAGTAGTGTCAGTACAAATGGAATTGAACCCAAGCAGGTTTCTTCCCTTTATCTCACGGGGAGTTGCTGTCTCTTGCAAGGCTCAAATTCATTTTATGGACTCCCGAGCTTCAAGTTTTGGTGCATGGTAGAATGTCATCAAAACTTAATTGCAAACCTTACTGTCTCTCTCCAAAACTTGAATCTGAAATTCTATAGCCGAGTTCAAAATTTTGAACAAGTTACTAGTATACAACAAAGTTATTTTATTCTCTCTGGCTTTCAAATCAGGCATATGCTGTATAGTATAGGCTATACTATATGTGTACATAACAATGACCCTATACATATATTTATTTACACCAGTATACCCAAAGTCAAAAATTAAGTGCACAGTTCCAATTTTGGGTCCCCAAAAAATGCAGATGCACCCAGTTTTTCCAGCCCTGTCTTGGTTGCAACTATATGACAAATTAAGGTCACCGAGGTTGGGCATGATTGCAAAATTTTCCCGTGAAGGATTGCAGGAAATGAAACATGATAAATGGTTTTATGGAAGCCAGATATGCATAATTGTTAATGTAGTCTTAATGGGATGGTCCTGATGTGGTGCAGGGGTTTTTCCAGAAAAATTTAGCGCGAAGGAGCAGAACGCAAGCATGGTGAAGGAGTGAAGCGACCAACGTTTTTTTTTAATGAGAGTGACACAGTTTGTAATGCTGGAATGCATTGTTATGTTGTATTGTTTTTACATTTTACTGGAAAAAGCTCATCTTGAGAAAGACTACGAGTATATGTTGTGTAAGTAGCCACTTAGGGTCCAATCTGAGAATTGATATGGCGGTGCTGGCTGGTTACATGAGGAAGCAGCGCCCTTATTCCCCCGTTTAGAAAAACAAAAAACCCCTGTGGTGTGCTGCAGGAATCGGCGGTCCAAGTGGGACCAGCCTGCACAGGCAGGCGGAGCGCCGGGCTTGATACCGCCGGGGGCAAACGCAGCCGACTCCTCCAGCCCCGTGGAGGCAGCTGCAGCCGCGGCCGCCAAGATCAACGCCATGTTAGTGGCCAAGGGGAAACTTAAACTGCCCGCACAGCAGAATCAGAACAGCAGTAAACCCAAGGTAGGTAGCTCCAATTATTTCACATGTTCACATGTTACTGATACATGTATCTTTTTTTTTTACATTACACTTTAAAAAGACTCATTTAATCTGTTCACTGAAACGCTGGATTCTGATGCTGAAATTCATCTTCCACTGCTTGCAGAAACTCTTCATATAACTTAATTATGGGTTCACCACACCACGAAGTGGTGTGGTGAAACCATATTGCTTTTTCTGATGTTTCTTCTTCTCCTCCTCCTTCTTCTCCTGCCATTTTTTAAATGGATTCAGCTTCTTCATTTTAGGGCCCAAGGTCCTGAAATTTGGTATGGAGGTACAGTGGGCAAATACCCCTAGGCGTTTTTAAATTATTGTGATACAGGCTTTTAGAATGGTTTTATTTGAGTTTTTGGCTGTGTTA